ATATTTTTTAACTTTTTTATTTTACTTAGAGGTTACAAAGTGAAATTATAAAATAATTGAAAATAAAAAGTAAAACCGCCGCATTGGGATTCCAACAGGATTTCTTGACTGTTCACGCACTTAGGTTGCGGGGCATCGCGTCGTGAACGTGAATTTTCGCCGCAGTCGTATTCGAACAGGATTTCCAAGGCAGCAGGATGGTAGAATCGTGGTACGGTTTACCCCCACTCTTTTCTAAATATAGCTCACCGTCTCTCGAACGGCCAACGCACACGGACAGGGTTTGGCTATGCTGTGTGCCAGCACGGTGGACGTAAAGTGGGGGTAGCCAGGACGTCAGCACACGAAATGATTTCTGCGTACGCGCTCTGGTTGTTGGGAGTTGCGTTGGTAACGTAGATCTTACGGAACACCCGAACGGGCCAGCTCACACGGATAGAAGCAAAGTATGCTTGTGTGGCAGAAACTGTGGAATAAAGTGGGGGTAGCCAGGACGCCGTGGTGGTGGAACCAAGTTCCACGATTCTGGCATCACTGCCTGGCATCACTGATCGCAGCGCTAGCGAGTAGTGGGGAATGGACTAAGTGATGGTAGGGACCGTGTCGTCTGGCGAAATGGCCCGCGGGCCACATGTTGGACAGGCCTGTTGGAAAGGAACAAAGCTTCAAGAGCATGCTGTTAAAGAAATATTTTAATGTTATGGCTTAAAGAGTTTCTTGCACTAATGCCTACAAAAAGGCACACAAAAATTCAACTGATTGCATTTCATTTGAGCACCATTGATATCTCTGCATACCTCAAATCGATTAGCTATTTTGCAAAAACAATTTGCCTGCATCCCGGGAGTAATATCTGCCATCGATGGAATGATACAATGTCTTACAAATTCTGTATTTTTCGGAGCTACACGTGAGATTTGATAATACGCCGGCCAAAAATTCAGCCTTTTTTTCATGAGATCACTGCAAGATATTGTTCGAGGTGAACATTAAAAGATTCCTTCAGAACATCCCCTTAGTGCTTTGTTCTTTTTTCTAAGATTTCCATAAGATAGCCAGGGATGTCTATTTATATTTATTATGGTATTCTTTTTTCATTCTTTCTGTTCTCACACGCTGTATTTTATTTACTTGTATCTGGTGGAGAAGAAATATCACAGGCGATCTGGGTAGCTTATTGTTGATTCATCAAAACTGTCACCTGCAAAA